CTGTCACATTGTGGGGATTGCAACTAATGTCACAAAACAATATGTGTATAAATTTTTGAATGAGAAATTAACTTGAGCTGTAAACTTTCACCTAAGGAACAATAAAATAATAAAAAAAAATCATTTGCTAAGGTGATTTACAAGGTCTAAATTCACTTGGTAGCCACAGTTGAAAGGATAGCTTATTTTGCTTTTTAAATAAAAAGTAATGAACAAGATTGTCAAAGAAGTCAATTACCTGCTGCTATATGGAGATAGGTGTGTCTTTTAAGTCTTTGTGTATGTATTACCATGAGTAGCAGACATTACAGTTATGAAGGGATGATTCTAGAGTGTCTAGATAGCTACCATTAGTGTAATTGAACTAAAGTATTCCTGCTAAAAATACACAGTAAAAATAAGTATATAGGCAGTCTCTAGGTTACAAATGAGATCTGTTGCTGAGTCTGCCTTTAAGTCGAATTTGTAGGGAAGTCAAAATAGGTGCATACGGTTCTTTTTATCCTTAAAGTTGATGGTTAGAACCCACCAGAGCAGGGATGGATTACCCGGTAAGCAAAGTACGCACAGCCTTAATTGTGTTACTTACTAATCTATAGTGCACAATTTCACATCTTTGATGTGATAAAACCCATGTGAAATTGTGCACTGCAGATTAGTAAGAAAACACAATTAAGCCTGTGTGTACCTCACTTACCGTAAGCCGGTACATACCGTGCTTACTGCTTGCTGGTTAATCCGCCCCTGCACCAGCCACTCCACTCTGCAGGAGAAAGATGTGGCAATCTGCTTCTGTAAAGATTATAGCCTTGTAAACCCTGTGGAGTAGTTTTACTCTGTTCTATAGGGTCACTAAGTCAGAATCTATTAAACAGCAGTGGTGTGGTTTGGTTTGGTTTTACACAAGAAAAGGCTCAAAGCCTTTTCAATGAGTTAAAAGCTGCATGTGCAAGTGAAGGTGATTGTGATGAAGAATTTGTTGCGAGTAGGGGTTGGTTCAGTCATTTCAAAGGGAGGGTAGATTTATGTAACATTAAAGGGCAAGATGAAGTTCTCCTAAGTCATTCGTAACCTGGGGACTTACTGTGTTCTTAACTAGAGGTGTTGAGGCCTGGTTTTCTGACTTGAGTTATGTTTTTTGTTTTGTTTTTGTAAATGATAACACAGTGAGAATGAGTCTCTTTGGAAGGAGGTGTCAGAATTACGAGCAAAACATGCACAACAGCAACAAGTTATTCGAAAGGTACGATGGTTTTTTTCCCATGACCATAAGCCATATGTGTTTAATGAGACCATTTGTGACCAAAAAAAGTCTCTATTGGTTAGCCAGTTTCTTATATTTTGGATACACAGAAAGAAGAAAAACTGTGAAGTCAAACTAATTAAGTCAAGTGTTATATCTACCCTTATTAATAAAAAATATTACTCATTAATTAAAGATGATCGTTCAATACAGATAATGTCTCAGTAGCTGAGTAAATGACCTTTTGCCTGACATAACAACTTTGAGATATTTTATTCCTGGGAGCATAATTAATACACTACCAGTTTCTTCACATTGTTTATTATAAAAGACACAGCTCGACTGTGTTTTTTACTCTTCTTTACTATAATAGACATAATTAAGGTCTTGGCAGGTAAATAATAGTTTCAAATCATTTGACCAAATTATAAATTTAAAAAAAATGATTTATTAGTATATGTCATTAGTAGTCTGTGCAGAAAAGCAGTTAACATAGTGTTATAAAGTGAATCCTAGATTTTAGTATCTAGTTGAAAATTACTAGGGGAATTGAAAGTCCTTCTGTTTCCTTGTGTCCTTGTGATTTAATCTTTGCATGTAAACTTTGATATGTTAATAAGAGGTGAAACATAAAAGTAATTAACCCATCTATTTTTTGCTCATGAGTAAACTGGAGTCTAAGTTTAAACAACAGGTTTTTTTAGGGGGGGGATGGGGAAAGGGGCGCAGAGAGTGCCAGCCTGTTCTGCTCAGAAAGCCTTTGAGCTAAAAATAGGGTTATGACTGACAGGATCTGGGTCTAGTAGAGCAGGCTTAGAATGGCCGTTGCTATCTTTGGCCTGTAGTCAAAATAGATATACTTTTTTTTTTTTTTTTAAGCTGAATGCAAGTTTGGTTTGGATGTGGTGGAATTCATTTCTATGTGTTTAATCCAAGTACATACATTTTCAAAACTTCCATAGGTGATTCTAGTGTTCAACCCTGTTAAGAATATCTGCTTTAAAATGATATAGATGTGCCTTGACCTGTACTTTATTTTAAAAAAAAAAAAAAAAGAGTTGATCTTTTTCAGAAAACTGTTTTTGTTAAATATTTATTTATTTATGATACATGGAAATCTTTGTAGACTTTATTTTTCCTAAAAGCAAGGATAGTTGGCAAAATAGGTATATTACATTGAGGTTTCAGTTTTCCATGAAAGCTAGCATATTTGCCAAAATTTGAGTTTGAATCTGTGTTTTTTAGTGGAATTGAAGAATTTACATAATACATGATGACAGCCAGTAATTTTTATTCCATTTCTAGAATTAGTTCCTAACTGCTATTTACTGTTTGGCCTTGGATTAACAACAACTTGTAAAGTACCTGTTATAGGACTTGTCCAGTATGGAAGTTAGATGCTGCAAATGTTAGATGCCTCATCTTCCCTTTCAGAAAAAAATTCTCACAACATGATGTAACGGTGCCAAAAAGAACTAAGATGCAGAATAAATTCCAGGAAAAAATCTAACTAGTTATTCATGTTGTTATAAATTCAACCACTAATATTTTTTAGTATTTTCCCATACCACTTATTTGTAAATTAACAAAAATAGTCGAAGTTGAGTTTTTCCGTATCTGTCTTTAGGTTTAAATGTTACCTTTTCATCAGCTGTCAGCATTTTCTTTTGAATAAGCTATTTAGTGGCTAAGCTCCTTTTCATAAATTCTAATGCTGTCTAACTCTTCAGTTAAAACTTTGTATTTTTCTCTGTTGAAAACTGACACTGATTGTAAGGCAAACTATTTAGTAATCTCTTTTGGGGGAAAAGTGCAGTATTAAAGCTATACAATATGTATTTTTAATTGACAATACACTATTTTAATCATGTAATTACATTTCACAAGGTTTACAAGAAAGTCTTGTCCTCTGATTACTTTTGGGCTTTCTTTATTCATAGCCTCTCAGTTTACATACTGCTTTTTATAGTTCCCCATATGAGCCTAACCTTTTTAGCATCTGTAGGAAGTTGAAAATATAACTTAAAGGCATATTCTAAACTAGTGGTTTTCACACTTTAACTCACATCAGTGTCATCTGGAAGGCTTGCTAAAACACATCTGGGCCCCATCCTCAGAATTTCAGATTCAGCAGTTCTGGAATGGGACCAAAAATTTGCGTATCTAACTAGTTCCTACACCAGTGCTACTGGTCCATGGGCTACACTTTAAGAAATCACTACCATAAAATATGCAGGTTTGTTTGCATGTCTTAATCTGTTTAATTAATAATTTTTCCTCTAAATTTATTCATATGTTAAAGATTCAGGCAGCTTCTCTTGAATGTCAGCAGAAAGCTTTGACTGACGAATGTTTGATGCTTCAATAATACTGTCTCATGAATCAGCCAATCAACTTTTTCTAACTTGAAAATTTTATGATCTATTCTGAGTTGACAGTTTGTTTCACCTCTAATAGCATAACATGATGTAATAAAAATACTGCGTAGTAAACACTGGTTTTATCTTTTGCATCATAACATAGTCTTCTTGAAAGTATTTAATAAAAAATAGGGGTCTACATCTAGGCAAGTTTGGTACTTACCACCAAAATATAACTGAAGTGAAAATTGGATAAATAAATAGGTAGATGTTACAGGCATTTTTATGTCCATGCACAGATAGCAGCAACTTTATCACAGCTTATTCTTCTGCCTGAAAGCTGGTTTGTTTCTTTAGACATTGGAAGATTTGGTAATGTGAATTAAAGAATAAGGAGTCTAAAATGGAAGTCTTTATTTATTTATATTTTCATTTTAGATTGTCCAGTTTATTGTTACATTGGTTCAGAATAACCAACTTGTAAGTTTAAAACGTAAAAGGTAAGTTTTTATGCTAAAACGTTTTGACCTATACATAGACAACCAAACATTTTAGTGTTTAACGTGAGTGGTCTGCGTTTGTGGAGTATATGCCTATTGTCCCAGTTGAATGGCCCTCCCTTATTAAATTATGCTCTCATCATCTCGAGGGTGATGTTATTTCCTATCGCTGTCATCCTGCTGATGTTTTTGAGAGCTAAGGCTAATCTAAATGGATACTTTATGGGCACACAGAGTTAAAGAATCCATTTTTTATTCAGATTCACAGTTTAATGTAGCATTAGAAGACCTGAATGAAAGAAATTCTTAAAAAAAAAAAGAAAAAAAAGCCATATGTTGAAGAAAGCATCTTATGTTTAATCCACTCCTAAAAGTCTTTTTAAACCTGTGTATTGACCATGGGTTTTGATACCTATAAATATCAGTAGCTACCATTGTCACACCTAAAGCTTAGAAAGAATAATGGGTAAAAGGGATAGTTGGAAGGAGAAAAAGATTATTTGTGAGGATAAGATTTTGTCAAAGCTTGATTATGATCAGAGCTTGGTAGCCTTCATTCTACTTCCCCTAAGTAGTTCTTAGAATATTGCCTATTTATTTTACTATGTAATTACAGTTTATAAAGAGTTGTGTAGTTCAGTCAGCAATGACGTGTATATATGGAGGGAGCGGTATATTATATTTATTATAACAAAAATAGTATAGAAGAATGGAGAAATAAAAGTCTTAGACACATTCATTCTCCAGATTCAACTCCTAAAACAAACATTTTAAAAGAGTTTCTCATGTATCTTTATTGGAATGTTTTATTCATTATTAAAGTGAGTGTGTTTGTGTGTGGGTAAGTTATTAAAGCAGTTTAAATTCCTTCCTTGTATGTTTGCTTCACTGAACTGCATGAATATGCTTCTGATTTTCAGGCCTCTACTTCTAAATACTAACGGAGCCCAAAAGAAGAATCTGTTTCAGCACATAGTTAAAGAACCAGCTGATAATCACCATCATAAAGTATTTTTTTATTAATTTCTATTTTATATTTTTTATTGTCTCCAAGTTTATTACAACAGTATTTCATGCATAGAAGAGAAGTTTAATGAATAATAATTTAAGTGCTCATCCCCTAGCTTTATTAATTCATGACTTTTTTTTGCTTTAGATTATTTTAAGAAATAAACCATTGCAGATACAATTGTTGCAGTTACCTGTTCCTATTCCCCTAGAGGTGTTAATCACTATTTTAAATTCAGTGTTTATCTTTCCCATGGCCATTTTATATGTGTGTATTCATGGACAGTATTTGGTATTATTTTGAGTATGTCTGAAGTTTGTATAAATAATAATCATTCTGTACATATTTTGCAGTGTGGCTTTTTTCAATTTGTGTTGCCTTTGAGATTTATTTCTTAAAAACATAAATTTAGTTCATTCATTTTAAAGTATTGAGATTTCCATTCTCGGGCATACCAGATTTAACCTAATATAATACATGTAATTCCTCTATCCACCACTGTTTCTAAGTAATCAAGCATACTTAAACATTTTGTTTTTAGGGTTAAACATTCATGTATATGGATGGAAATTTTTATATATAACTGGATTTATATATTTTAAAGTAGTTCACATATTTTGCCTCTGTATTATCTACTGTTGAAATTTGTAGGTTTTTTTATCATGATAATGACCTTATTTTGCTTAAGAGAATTGAAAAGTTTTTTATTATAGTACATATGGCCTAGATATCTATAGCTTTAAAAAAAAAAATCACTGCTAAAAAACCAGGGTGACATTTAACTATGGAATAGATGAAGTGTTTCTTTTCTGTTAGTGAAGCTGTTTAATGAGTCTGAATAAAACATGTCCAAAAACAGACTAGCTTGAGATGAAATAATCCTCATCAGCACAGTGGCGGTCTGGTTATGCTTGAAATTTCTGATCAAGTCTAAGACCCTTTGGGTATGAAAAGTGACCTAGAATTTGAAGATCTTTCTATAGATACATTCTGACGCGTTTAATCTTTCGGGGTCCCTTATGGTGGAAGAAGTAGTTGCCTGTGCAGATAATAAACCTCATATCTCTGGGAACTGATATAACTAATACCAGTTGGCATGTAAGTCCCATAAGGGCAGAGAACATAAATCTGTTTTGCTCACTGTTGTATCCCCAACATTAATAAATAGTAGATGCTCAGTATTTTTGGATATGTTGTTTGCTAGTCAATATAATTTAGATTTTTTCATATATTTTTCTCCCTGATCTTTTAGGTTCCACACAGTAGGACTGAAGGTTTAAAACAAAGGGAGCGTATTTCAGATGACATCATTATTTATGATGTTACTGATGATAATGCAGATGAAGAAAATATCCCAGTTATTCCAGAAACAAATGAAGATGTTATATCTGATCCCTCCAAGTAAGAAGACTGTAAGATAAAATTTATGAAAATGTTGGTCATGTTTCTTATCAAAGACCTAAATTCAAAACAGCTTTGTTCTTTGATAGACTAATATCTAACTCATATTTGGGTTATTAAATTGAATAATTAAGTAAGCTAAGTTATTCAGCCAAATAAAGACCCCAGTGAAAAAGTAATGAGAATTAAATTGATTTTTTTTTTATTTTGGAGTTAAACACCTCTAATTGATTTTTTTGTGCTCTTGTATCCTATGAAGTATCAATATTTATCTTTAAGCTACTTAAGAAAGGATATATGATTTAGGGAAGCAATTTTCTGGAGAATGAATATACAACGAATGTATTGAATTTGTCTGAAAATGTAACTGTACTTCTTTCTCATATCACTGATCAGTAGCTGTAGCCAGTACCCTGATATTGTCATTGTTGAAGATGACAATGAAGATGAGTATGTACCAGTCATTCAGAGTGGCGATCAGAGTGAACCAGCCAGAGAATCCCTAAGTTCAAGCACTGATGGCACCAGCCCACTCATGTCTAGTGCCGTGCAGCTGAATGGCTCATCCAGTCTGACCACAGAAGATCCCGTGACCATGATGGATTCGATTTTGAATGATAACATCAATCTTTTGGGAAAGTGAGTGCTTATCTAAATTTCATCTAAAATGATGTACTTTTGTTGTTCACTTCACATACTCTGTTTCTCTTTGAGTGCTCTTCGTTTCAGATGATGAACCCATGTAGTCCACCTTCTTCTGTTTTGGTCAGAGTTAAGCTGTGCAAGTGGTATTTTGAGAGGAATTTAATCATCCCAGGAGCAGTTTGGGGGATCTTCTTGATAGTTCCTCAAATTTCTTTAATGAAATACTTGTTTTGAATGTCCATAAAGTGTATATCCTTGTCTGTATTTGTGTTAATTAGGATTATGGAATGATATCTTCTCAATTAAGGGACTTACTGTTTTAAAGCATAAGACAACCAATAATTAGTTATAATAATCAGTAATAAGAGGGTAAACATTTTATAAGTTACATTGTGGAGGAAAGCAGTAAATCACACTGCTATTACAGAACCTTTTTTCCATAACTACTTAAATTTTGTGTATATGCTCTGAGTTCTCAGTATACAAATTTTCAGGAATTCCAAATCTTGAATAGGAGCCCTTAAGATTAATAACTGGTAAAGATTCAGCAGTTGCTAGGAATATTTTTCTATGTGATTACAAACATAAAAACAAGAAAATCTAATATTTGATTTTTTTTAAAAATATTTTTTCTTTAGAGTTGAGCTGTTGGATTATCTTGACAGTATTGACTGCAGTTTAGAGGACTTCCAAGCCATGCTATCAGGAAGACAATTTAGCATAGACCCAGATCTCCTGGTTGATGTAGGTACTTTGGATAATCTTTGCTATACTGGTAATTTGTGTATTTATATATATGATTTATACATCAATACAGCATTTTCTCCTCTTGTATTCTACACTGTTGTTTTTGTATTTTCCGTTTTAAGTGAATGGTTTGTTTATCAGAAAGCATGAACAGATGTGTTCAGGACATTGAAGGAGGGTGATCGTACCTGCTTTTGAGTAATAGTTCAGTTAATCCCCCTGTAACAACATATCAACTCTATTCAACAGTACTGTTAAATCCAGGTCTTGTCTGGACTTGTTGCTGTTTTATGTTTTGCTCTAGAATAAGTTGTCACTGAATAGAAATCTGTGGGAATTACCAGTACAGGCACTTAGCCAGGAAACAGCATGGAGATACTTAATACTTCAAGAATTAACACTTTTCCCTCAAATGTATTATTTTTAAAAGATTTGCTATATTTTCTATATTTATATTTTTATGTCCTGAGTTGCAAGGTTCCCCTGCTCCTATCTCCACCACTATCCTTATGAACTTGACTCCAATATTGTCTGGACTGTGAATCCTTATCTGCCATTTCTGACAGTAACCCACTCTTCTTGCTGTCTTGCCTCTTATTCCTACCACTCCTCCTCCCTTACCTAAAGCTTTATGTATGGTGTTGTTGCCTTAGCTGAGTCTTTTTCTGCCCCCATTTCTATCTTCTGTTGTAAACAGATTTCTCTCTTTATCCTGATAAGTTTCGTTGCTCCTTTATCTGCATGTCTTGCCTTAAAATGCAGCTTCTCTTACATCAAAAGATTCTACAATTTTGCCCTTTTAAGAGCCTCTCAATGAGGCTAAAAGGTAACCTTGTTCATACTCTTTAATGTTATTTCTTGTCCACTTGATTTACCGCATTGTCCTCTACTTCTCCTTTCAGTCTTTGCCAATGTTACATGACTTTTATCACCCTATCCAAATCATCAGTTCCTCACAGAATGGATTCTTACCTTCTTTGAAGATTTTCTTTTCAGGCTGACCTAAGTTGCCATCTTAAATGAATTCAGCATCCATATTGATGACCTGTTTCAACTTGTTAGCAGTCACTTGACACCCCTTCTTGATTTTATCAATCTTTGTCTGCACTCTGAATCCAGGGAGCTTTCAGAATATCTATCCCTTATATTACCAAGAATAAAATAAAATCCTGTAATTCTGGCCCTCTACAAATCTTTGCAGTTTACAACTATGTCATTATTCTATTTTTCTATCCTTTAATTCAACCTTGGAACATTTACCATATTTGTTTGTCCTCAAGACCCCATCCAGCCGACTCCGTCCTTTTCACAGTGGATAATTGACCCTGCCCTGATCTTCTCATAAGCTGTGACTGTCTTTAACCTCCTGTCCTCCTTTCTTCGAAGGATCCTTACTACCTCTTTAAAGCCAATTTGTACACCTGTCCTCTGCCTCTCTAGTTTTTATATCTCTATCCTTGATCTTTCCCATCTGCCTTCAGTAAGTACTTATCTTCCCCATTAAAAAAAAAAACATTTTAAGATACTGCCCTGTTCATTTACCATCCTACTTCTGTCTTTCACTACAAAACTTTAGAAGTGAGTGGCTATACTTGTTACGTCTTTTTTAACTATTATTTCTTCTGAAACCCTGTATCATCTTGCTTATTTACTCTAACCCTGTGCTGCCTGTGCCGTCTTAGTTTATTCATAGTAAGTAGGCTATGATTTTTTCTCATAGTAAATCAGGTCACCAGGCTAGTGGGAAGAAGGTTTGCTTTGAGTCAGACAGATCTAGTTTCTGTAATTGACTTATGTTACCAGCTGTGATACTAACTGTGGGAAAGTTAGCTTATCTTGCTCAGTTTCCCCACCTATCAAATGTGCCTAATGCCTAACATGAGTGACTGCAAGGATTATAAATAAATAACACTAATATTATTAACACTGTTGAGTGTTCCACACAGAATTTTTTTTTCTGTTGATTTTAGAGGCACTGAATCTCTTTGTTCCGTTCCTGTCTTCCTAACCATTCTTTTTCCTTTAAAGGGCTTCTCTTTTTTTATTGTCTTGAACTTGTGGACATTCTCCAAAGCACCCAGTCTCTCATCCTCTTTGGTTTTCTCTACCTCTCTTCTTTTTCTATTCTTTCTCTCTAAAGAGATTCTGACTTGTAGGATTGGTCTCAAATTATATCTCCAGTTCTTAACTTTTTTTTTTGAATAAACTTTGTTTGAATACTAATTTCCTACCCTTGGAATCATCCGTTAGATCTTGCCATAGATTGTGTTTGACATCAAACTCTACTCTGTAAACTAGTTACCCTTTTCTTATTTTCTCTAGTGATATCATACGTTTCTTGACTCATCCAGCATAGTTATCACAGGATCACCTTGGTTTTGTCATCTTCTTTGTTACCACTCACCAAGTCCTGTGTTTTCCAAAATAGCACTTATAAGCCATCCCTGCTTTTTATTTCCTCTGTTGCATCTCTCATCCAAGACTTTAATTATTTTATCTCTGAATTATGATATCATAACTAAAAAATCTACCTGTGGGTTGCATTTTTTCTGAGATGGCAGAGATGGTAAAGACATGAATAAGTGTGCTGCGGAGTTCATGGGTTCTCTCTGCAGACCTCAGTACTGGAGGACCCAGGGTGGAGTCAGCAGCAGAGGCCTGACCTTAGAATTCAACTGTGTCAGCACCTCATACCTTATCTACTTTTTTCTACTTCACCATTTGCCTGCTGGGAATACATGCGAGGTATCCATAAGCGGGTAGAGGATATGGGGTAAAGCGGGGAAGAACTGATACTGCTGGCCTTCCTCAGGTTGCCACCCTTAGTGGGGATGATATTTGGTCAGGCCTCTGAGGTGGTGACAGACTGAACTGGCAGAGATCAATAATGATGTGTAGCTGTGAAATGGGAAGAAGGAAATGAAAGGAAGATACAGGAAAGGAGATACAGGAGGCATCTGCCTCTGGCCTCTCTGCATTTCATTCAATCCTGTGAACCATTTGGCATGTTCATTCTCCTAAAATGCTTGTTTAATCACTGAATTCACCACTCAGGCCATTTTCAAGGCTCTTATTCCAGACAGGATGTGGCCTCATCCACTGACTGGCCTCACTCTACTTTTTTGAACCTTAAGTATACAATTTACTATCCAACTAGGAACTTCTACATTATTTAGTCTATTTACTGAACATATCCCACCATCGTTCCTTCTTCTCTGTTGTCTCTAATGCTGTACCAGTGTCGTTTTCCTTCCATCATCTCCTTTCTAACTCCTAACCATTCTTCGGGGATTGACACGTTGCATAGCTTTATCAAGGCCTTTCTGTTCTGTTTGTGTGTAGGGGGTGTGTGTGTGTGTGTTTTCTTCCCTTCTCTTTATTCCTTAGTACTTATGAGCCCCACCATCCATTGTTATAATACTGAATTATATTTGATCATATACTGATATTTGATGTTGGTCTTATCTTTTAGATTGTACGCTCCTGGAGAGCAGGAATGGTGTCTTCATCTTGTATTCTTTGTGATGTCGTTTATTTCTTAGATACTCAGTGAATCTCTCTGGAATAAACGAATTTAAAGCTTATGACTTAAACAAAAGTTTATGTATATAAACTGATTGGATTGAGTTGTGCAGTAAGCAGTGGTCTTAGCACTTAAAAGACTTAAGTCCTTTGGTAGGTGAGGTGAAAAGAACCAACAAGTAGATGTGCCATCTTGTCAAGACTCCACTTCAGCTGTAGTTTAGGAGCCATTGTCATAGAGCAGATTCTGTAAATTTGTCACATAATTAGTAGGTATTCAGTGAAGGCTTGATACCAGGGCAGGGGATTCAGGTACTCCTTCGGGCGCCACTTACGACGAAAAGCACTGAGGGAGAAAAAATAAACGAAGTGAAGTTGAATGAAAAATAATGAAGGATAGAAGAAATGGGAAGAACAACTATTTGTCTCAAGTGATTTATCCCACTATTTTATAGAGAGATTCTTACAACATGAAATTCTAATTTCTAATGCAAAGGCTAGCTTGCTCTGCTTTTGTTTTGTTTTTCTTTCTGGTTTCCTGCTTTTCTCTTTGAAACTTGTTTTACTGAATGGAAACTTCCCTAGTGCAGGAGCTTCATCTCTTCACCCAATGTGGCTGTTTGAAAATTGTGAACACACAATTCTTTTAAAATATTTTTTAAACTTATGATCTTTCTTGTTTGGTCTTTCAGCTTTTCACTAGTTCTGTGCAGATGAATCCCACAGATTACATCAATAATACAAAAGTAAGTTTTAATTCATGTTGCTCAGGACCCATAGCTGTAAGAATCTGAAAAAAACAAAATCCTAGTAAGTAGAGAGCAATATCACTCCCAATTACAAAAAAGCATTTATTATCCTATCTTGTATGTGTGATTGAGATAGTAAACTTCTAGATGAAAACTGGCTTTTGGTTATGGGATGATTCATTACCCAACTCTACTGATGCTTGTGGGAATAACTACCAGTATGAAATTGGCCCTCCCTCTGTTGGTGCTGAAAGGTCATCTGAGTAAACTTGGGAGTGTTGAGGTATATCATTGAAATTAATTATCAAAGTATGGTTTGTTCATGTTTTATGTGCTGCATTTTACATTCTTATTCCTTCCATAAACAAATTCTCAGCATTTTTTTTATTAAAAGTTTACTGGTGCCCATATTCTTTTATCTATCAGTATAGTAATAGCTCAGGAATGTGTACTAAGGCAAGTTGAAACAGTGAATTAGGGATTTTGGTCTTTGTTTTTAAAGTAATATGGTTTTTGTTATATTTTTAAATGTATAGGAACTCCACTTGGACTTACCAAATATTGACGAGATTCTTTTGAACTGGTTTTTAACCAATAGTAAGGACAGTTTGAAATTATTAGAACACGTTTATGAATATATTATTATTTTGTACAATTTATTGTCTTGAATAGGTATATACTCCCTTTATCTTGTATATATGACAAGTTATTTAGCAACCCTTGTTTTTCATTGGGTGCAAAGGTAAATCAGGTCCTCTGGAATTTGTACAAATTTGTACAAATTTGTACAAATTCCAGATTAGTAGAGTCAATTTTATCTTGATTCTTTTTCTTTGTAATCTAAAAATGAGCACATCTCAAGTAAATGAGTTATTAGGGTTGGGGAGGTGCTTTTCTGACTGTTGTCATGTGTGAGGATAGCCTGGCTAGATTTTCTGCATTTTGAAAGTTACAGCTTGGATAACTTAGAGCTTAAATAAATTGTGAATTTGTGGACTAGGAAGGTGATTGTACATTCAGTATTTGGGTGATTTATATCAGGGGTTGGTGTATTTTTTGTAAAGGGCCAGCTAGTAAATATTTCCAGTTTCATGGGCCGTATGTTCTCTGTTAAAACTACTTGACTCTGTTGTTGTAGTGCAAAAGCAACAATCGATGTTAAGTAAAAGAATGAGTGTGGCTGTGTTGTAATAAAATTTTATTTACAAAACCAGGCAGCATGCTGGATTTGGCCTGTGGACCATAGTTTGTCAGGATATATATTATAAGATTCTTTGGACCACCTCAGCTTTGTGTTTCAGTAAATAATGATCATACTGAGGGTTACTAAGCTGTAGACCTTAAGTTGAATGGATCCATATCATATATCATTTAGTGAATGTGCTTTCCTATATTTATTGCTAAACATTAAATCATTCTTTATTCTTGTATCATCCTCCTTATTCCAGAAAACCAAGAACTTGGACACACTTTTTAGAAATAGCAATTAAACAGAAATGCATATTGTTCTACAATACTATGGAAAAATTAAATTTGAGAGTGATTTTTCAATATAGTTTGTCCTAGAGTCTAAATTAATGTTTTCAAATCATTGGCACATCAGCCATCACTCTCTTGCCTGTAACAGATGTATAACTTACAACACTCTTTCCTAATAAATCATGATGCTTTCTGCTGCTCAATACAGCAATCTAGGTGGCCACTACTAATGGTTAAGAATTTGCATGGGAGATGAAACTCATTTGTCATCCTGGTTCTCATCTGTTTTAGAACAACAGTTCCATCCTTGGATATTAACTATTTTAGGAAATATAAGAATAAAGATGGTATCATTGCATTAGTATTTTATGTATTATGAATGCTAAATGAGAAAATATTTTTATGTACTTTTTTTTTTAAAGGGTCTAAGTAGTTTTATTAGATATATCTTGGGACCATTCTCTTCTCTGAATCCTGGAAACTTGTACCTTTTCAGTTAATGATGAATTTTAGGCGAATTATAGGAATTAGTATACAGATGTTTGTTACACCACCTATACTTAACTGGAACTTACAACTGCTGAGGAAAAATTGTGAACCTTCTAAACTCAGAGCTTGATCATCACTGGAAAGAACACTGAAGACCTTTACAACATTAAACATTTAATCCCCCTACCACAGTCAGATGTAAAGAGAGAAGACAGTGGTTGAAAGAAACAAGTTAAATGACAGAAAGAACTGTGAGAGCCACGAAAAGGAAAAGAAGAAACACTACCTCAATTTTGAGGCTTCCAGTATAGGGATAGTTTTAAAGATATAACCATACAGCTAATCTTGAGTTATTTCAGACATGTTCATTTATGTTAAATATTTTGTTTATGAATGAAGGGACATGTGAAATACATTTTTAATCAAAATATTTAAAGTAAATGATTGCTTAAAAAATCACTTAATTAGCATTTTAAAACATGTCATCTTTGATTCAGTCTCGTCTTTTACCCTTAACAAATTCTGTATATTCTCCTGTTGAAATGCCCCCTTTTCTTCATACTTATTATCATCCTAGTTCAGGTTCTTTGTTTCTTCCCCTTGATGACAACAATAGTTTCTTAACCAGGCTTGTTACCTCTACTCAAATCTCTTTCTCTCTCTAGTTCATCTTCCCAGATGCTCCCCTTTCCTATGTATTTCAGATGATGTACCAATATTTATATACCATACCTTGTTATTTTTACTGTTTTTGCTATGTTTCAGGAATATATAAAATATGAAACATACAAATATTTTTATATTTTTCTGTTTTAGTCAGAGAATAAAGGATTAGAAACTACCAAGAACAATGTAGTTCAGCCAGTTTCAGAAGAAGGAAAGAAGTCTAAACCCAAACCAGGTATGTATAGATGTAATATTAGTTTCTGTAGATTTGTTAAGAGTCCTACATAGAAACAAATGTGAGCCAAGGAAAGCCTTGCCATACTTAACAATTAAACACAGAGTATCCTGGCCTTAGTTACGTACACAGCATCTAGGTTCCAGCATATATAAAGAAAATTCTAGTGAGGTAACAGTTCTTTGTTGTGGATCTTTTTCTTTTCCTATTTAACTTCAGGAGAACTAAAAGAACCCTCATTTCTTAATTGTTAAATAAGAGATTTAATTTTCTGACTTACGTATTTAATTTATTAATGCAAACTCATAGTTTCTTTGGCATATAAGGGTAGTGATACGTGCACATCTGCTTCTGTTTCCCCCCCTTTAGCTTGAATTCTGTATAAACTGGTAATAAAAGAGTGTTTTTCTAATCTTTGTAGATAAGCAGCTTATCCAGTACACTGCCTTTCCACTTCTTGCATTCCTTGATGGGAACCCTACTTCTGCTGTTGAACAGGGGTGTACAACATCATCAGAAGTTATGTCTTCTGTAGATAAACCCATAGAAGTTGATGAGCTTCTGGACAGCAGCCTGGATCCAGAACCAACCCAAAGTAAGCTTGTTCGCCTGGAGCCATTGACTGAAGCTGAAGCTAGTGAAGCTACGCTGTTTTATTTATGTGAACTTGCTCCTGCACCTCTGGATAGTGATATGCCACTTTTAGATAGCTAAATCCCCAAGAAGTGGACTCTACGTGTATATATTCATCAAAATGATGAATTATTTATTTTAAAGTATCATTTGGTACTTTTTTTTGTAAATTGCTTTGTTTTGTTTAATCAGATACTGTGGAATCTAAAGCACCTTTTGCTTTTCTCACTAACCACACACTGTTGCAAAGCTTTCAGATGTTAGTCAGCTGCATAAGTACAAAAGATTCAGTGCACATTATTGGCATATATTTAAGTTGGATTCAAATGACCGTTTTTCTTCCAATTGCAGTAAATTAGATTTCTGTTTTATATATATATAAGCCTATTAACCCCAGTTAAACTTTTATTTGTTTGTTTGTTTTACTTGTTTAATAAGTCTTGATTGCATTGAGTGTAAGTCACTAGAACTAATGGTAGAACTCTTAAAGCTTTCTCTATTCTAGTTACTTTTATTAAATATTTTTCACTTTGCTTATTTTTAAACCGGGAACATAAAGTGCCTGTATCTTGTAAAACTTTCATTTGTCTTTCTTGGTTCAGAGAAGTTCATTTATGTTCAGAGAAGTTCATTCATGTTCAACAGGAAAGGCAAAGTGTACATGAGTGCTCGCTGTCTGATACGGTTCCAGCTTCATATGCATGGAAGAAAGAAGGGATGGGATGGAGTAAACCCTGTCCTCTCAGTTGGACTAGTTTTAAGTAAAAACTTTCTGGTTTGTTTGTGTTTTATTGACCATATTATTTAGTAAAATAAATATAATGAATGTTGAGTACTAGTGTTCATTATGTGTCTTCTTTGGAGGTGACACCCACATGTAACAGTTTTTTTTTTTTCTCATAGGAAGCAGATGGACTTAAGACTGTGTTTGTTGTTCATTATTCTTAATTTGAGTCACACCAAGATCTTTGTGCCTCATCTAAAAATACAGACTGTATGTATTCTAAGGGAATAGTATATAATGTCTTTAAATTTAATGTATTTTAAAGTTGTCTTTGTTTAAAAATTATACTGGCTTGCTTTCTGTGTTTCTAATAAAGAACTGAGAGAAGTGTGGTTAGGACAAATGAGGTTAGAACATTGTCACTGGATGCCACCAGGGTCTACAATTTTTACTCTTAGAAAAGATAGCAGAAATAGATCATCTCCTTTTGGAATGGTTGCTTCTAGGATTGCAAAGGCTGAGCAAGGCCAAGGTACCTTGTTTATCACTTGAAGAATTTCACCCTTCAGACATAGGGCCAAGAGTGCACTTAATATCTGATTATTCTGTAGGGCTATAATATTGTATAAGGTGACACAACCGTTAAGCACTCAGCTACTAACCAAAAGGTTGGCCATTTGAACCTACCCAGCAGCTCTGCGGGAGAAAGACCTAACAATCTGCTTCCGTAAAGATTACAGTCAAGATCACCCTGTGGGGCCGTTCTACTCTGCCACGTGGGGTCACTATGAGTCAGAATTGACTCAACAGCACCTAACAGCAACATTTGATAAGAAATTACAAGAAAGGCCTCCCTGTTGGCCATATTCTGTCTCTTGATGTCTTGGAATTTCTCTTACTATGATGTGAAGATTCAAAGTAAGGCCTAGCACAGAGGAGTAGGAAGCCATTCCTTTCTTAGCAGATCCTAAAGTACTTGGCTGTGACATTGAGGTCTTGGTGAAGTAATTTGAGACCCCAACACAGTTCTCTGCATGAGCTGTAGAGATCAATTTTCTAGAGGTTGTTAAGGTGAGAAGAGTTTAGAGACAGAAGAAAACAGTTTTCAGGCTTTTTCTCTTTCCCTTCCCTTTCTCACTGTAGGTTATGATCAAATTTCCTCTCTTTGGGGGCATTTTGGAACTCAAGGATTATAGCTCAGTAGCTGTGATGCTTGAGAAACACTCAAAATAATTTTGAAAAACTTTATAGTCCTGTTAGTTTTTAAGTCAGCATCTAAAATTTTTCATCTTACACATACATAGTTGGAAAGAATTGAGAGTATTGTTAATACTGACATTTTAAAATACAGTTATGTGCTGCTTTTAAATATAGCTAAAGAAACCTAAATACCATAATAATTTGATACCTGTCACCATCTATTCCAGTTCCCCCAAAGAATTTTATCCTGCTTTTATCATGCATGAAAGTTGTATACTGATGATCCTATTACACTTCTTTGCAACTATATTTGAAAATTGTTTGCTGTAACCTTTAGGATTCTAAGTATTAAAAAAGTTCTACTCCAGTTATAAATACATAGTTGATCAAAACATTATAAATATATATATCAGAGGCTGTTAACTGATCATCAAATCATTTACTTCTATCATGCAGCTAGATTATTTTGGCCTTCCTTGTAAGTAGGGCAGCCATGTGACTGAGTTCTAATAAATAGAGGAAGTGATGTACAGCACTTCCAGGTCCAGTCTGTGAAAACCTCCCGCATACAATCCTCCATGCCCTTTACCCTTCTGCTGGCTTGATGCAGATTAGTATGTGGCTTCTGTGAGTACACAATCAAGAAGAGGAAACCTGGCTTCCTAAATCACTGCTTAGAGGAGAGCCACCCATCAATCCTAGACACCTATTTTAAACTTGAAATGAGGAGGGAACAACCTTTTATTATGTTCTGTCTGAATTTGGGGGGTTGATCTTTTAGTATTCAATAAAATATGGTACAAATTTTGATAAACTGATATTAAACATAAAAAGTAAAATTTTACCAGAAATAACATGTTTTAATGGAATAAACAGGGCTTGGATCTTTTCAAGGTTTTTTTTTTAAATATCAAGTTTTTTTATATTCAGATTTTTTGAATATTATCTGTAAAAAGGGTTATTCAGCAACCTGCACTTCCATTTAGAGGGATAAATATGCCATTTCTTTAATAATTTAATATGTATTTTTAAATGTGCTTGATTTAGGTTAGTAAAGGACACAGCAAATTGAAATTTAAAACTAAAACTACCTGTTTGTTTTTGGCACCAATAAAAATGAAATGTGAAGAAAAATAGAGTCAAATAGTAAAATAAGATAGCAAGATCTGTGTTTTAGTCCTCAGGGATGAAGTACTAGATAAGAATTTTAGACATAACTCCAGTGCCTGTATGTCATCTCATACTTTATTAGGTCCTCTAAGGCTCTGTATTCTCAGATTATGTCTTGGAAGAAATTGGATTTTTCTTTTTTCAAATAGCCGAGTTTGTTTTTGTTAGTACTTAGAAAATCATCTGGATTTATACATTGTTCCAAGGCCTTTAGACTGAGGGTCTAAACAAGAAAAGACATAGAATTGCCACACTCTTTCCACGTATATTATATCTGTGTCTTCTTGTGTTCTTCCTGAAGCCAGCCAGAATGCTGAAATACTGATGCCGTATTGGCATTGCCTTTTAAGATGCTTGAATGACAGTGCTTTTTTAAATTGAGTTTTCCAAAACTAAACAATACTGGAATTTAATCACATATTTGGTGCCATACTATATGTCAGTATATCAAAATTGATGAGAGATGTTGCATACAACAGAAAGGAGAGGCATTTAGCTTAGAAAAGAGAAGAAGGTAGACAAAGTATTTTAAAGTACAACAAAAGATGTAGTAGATTAGACTGTCAGTTGGAACATTTCTTTGAACCCATAACTCTTTAAGATATCCTTCATGCTGTCACAAGAGCAACTCGAGCAGCCTGTGATATCACCCTGTCTATATAAAAACCTCTAATACTGTTTTCACTAAAAAAGGAACAGAAGTGCTTCTTAGAGCACAGAAAAACAAAAAGGGACTGAAACATTTTTTGCCAAGAAAATGGGATGCTTTTAGAACTGTCCTGTGATAGTACTTAAATGGGTGTAACACTGGCCACTTGTCAAGTTGAACACAGGAGAAAGAAGAGTGAGAGAGAATTAATTGAAACAATTGGTAAGTTGGACCTAAGCCAAATGTAAAGCTTTTGCTCTGTGAAAGACCCCTTTAGGAGGATGAAAAGACAAGCTACAGACTGGGCAAAAATATTTGCAAACCACAGCCAATAAAGGACTAGTATTAGGAGTCCTGGAGCCCTGGTGGTGCAGTGGTTGAGAGCTTGGCTGCTAACCAAAAAGTCAGCAGTTTGAATCCAGCAGCTGCTTCTTGGGAGCCCTATGGGAGAGTTCTATTCTGTCCTGTGGGCTTGCTGTGAGTTGGAATCAACTCGATGGCAATGGGTTTGGTTGGTTTGGATTAGGAGTCCTGGTGGCACAATGGTTAAAGCATTTGGCTGCTAACTGAAAGGTCAGAGGTTTGAAACCACTAGTGGCTCCATGGGAGAAAAGACCTGACGATCTGCTCCCATAAAGATTACAGCCTAGGAAACCCTATGGGGCAGTTGTAGTCTGACCTATAGCGTCACTATGAGTTGAAAGAGACTTGACAGCACACAATAACAACATATAGAGTATATTAAAGAACACTCAAAACTCAACAGTGAAAAAAAAATCCAATTAGAAAAAAGCCAGAAGACATAAACAGACATTTCACCAAAGACAGTGTTGTTGTTATTAGGTGTGGTTGAATCAATTCCGACTCATAGCGACCCGACGCACGACAGAACGGAACGCTGCCCGGTTCTGTGCCATCCTCATGATTGTTGCTATGCTTGATTGAGCCCATTGTTGGGAGTCACTGTGTCAGTTTATCTCATTGAGGGTCTTCCTGTTTTTTGCTCACCCTCTACCAAGCATGATGTTCTTCTTCAGGGACTGATCCCTCCCGATAACATGTCCAAAGTGTGTGAGATATTGGCTCGCCATCCTTGCTTCTAGGGAGCATGCTGGTTGTACTTCTTCCAAGACAGATTTGTTCATTCTTTTGGCAGTCCATGGTATATTCACTGTTCTTCGCCCATGCCACAATTCAAAGGCATCAGTAATTCTTCAGTCTTCCTTATTCATTGTCCAACTTTCACGTGCATATGAGGCGATCGAAAACACCATGGCTTGGGTCAGGTGCACGTTAGTCCTTAAGGTGACATCTTTGCTTTTCAACACTTTAAAGAAGTCTTTTGCAGGCAGTTTGCCCAATGCAGTGTGTCTTTTGATTTCTTGTCTGTTGCTTCCATGGATGTTGATTGCGGATCCAAGTAAACTGAAATCCTTGACAACCTCAATCTTTTCTCCATTTATCATGTTGCTTATTGGTCCACTTGTGAGGATTTTTGTTTTCTTTATGTTGAGGTGTAA